TTGGAATTGTTCAGCATGGAGAAGAGGCTCCAGGGAGACCCTAGAGAAACCTTCAAGTATCTAAAGGAGACTACAAAAGAACTGGAGAGGGACAGTGTACAAGGGCATGTAGTGACAGAACAAGGTGGAATGGCTTCAAATTGGAAGAGGGGAAGTTTAGCTCTTACAGAGACTTTCTTTCCTGTGAGGGTGGTGAGGCACTGGGACAGGTTGCCCAGCAAAGCTAAGGATGGTTCATCCCTGGAAGTGTTCAAGGCCAGGCTGGATGGAGCACTGAGCAACCTGGTCTAGTGGAAGGTGTTGGGTGTGTGCTCATGGCAGATGGCTGGAACTAGATGGTCCTTGGGGTCCTTTCCAAAACAAACCACCCCATGATTCTAACTTGAAACCACAAAACAAGTTCTTCAAATCTGGAAGACAGTAACACACCATCTTAAAGAAACAGGTGTCAACAGAAGACAGAGGAACTAGAGATTATTTAGCCTAATTCCAATTTACAGAAAAAAACACTTAGGTGGATACAACTATCATCTACCTAGAAAATAAGACATTAAGAATAAGAACTAATAAACACAATCACATAAAAAAATTGAAAACAACCAAGTCAAACTAGCCTTTGTTACTATGACTGGATAGGCTTGTTCAGAGGACCAGTAGACATCTTAACATCTGACATTTCCACTATATTCTAAAAAATGCTACAGAAACATGGTCTAATAAGAGCAAATTGTGGGCAGTTTAGTCTGTGCTCACTTAACTATCTAATTTTGAGGCAGGCAGCAAGGATTCTTCCTTTGAAGGCAGTATAGCCTCATAAAACCCACAGGTATCACAACGCTGCAAGTCCATTACAGGAAAGGATCAAAATTAACAAAGCTTGAAACTGGAGAGGGGGTCTGAATGCAAAGGATATAATTCAGTTGAAACAAAAGCAAGAACTACAGTCATATATATATTTAATGAACTGCATGAACCTGAAAAGGGAAGCAACTGAATTAAGAGGAGCTGCTGCAGATCACAGCCTGCTCTGAAAAAGGAAGAAATAGACATAAGAGCAATAATTTGCAAGACACTTGCAGCATGGTCTTTGACATCCATACACCAGGCAGACACTGTTGATTTTCAGTACTGCATATTAAGAAAAAAATATGGATGACTGAATTAAACATAAGGGGAGAATACTAAGACTAATAAGGGTATAACATGCAATCACAGACTGAAATAAATCACTTGATCTAGGGAGAGGGGAAAAAAAGAAGCTATTAAGCAATCTTCAAATATAGAGAAAGCTGAATGAAAAGGGTAAATTGTTTACCTTCTCCACTAAAGATGAGAATAAATGGATAAGAGGTCAAACAAGGAAAAAAATAATTTTACAAAATACTTCTTTGAAAAGAGTGGAATCACTTTGAGATATCCTGCAAACACAACAGACAAGGACTTGTCAAATACAACTTTAAAACAGTCCATCTTGTTTGGCAGCAGAGGATACTCTGCAGCATTTTATTCACTTGTACTAAGAAGTTGCCACTGATGCAAGACAGTAAAATCAATGTACTAAACACTGTTAAACATCAACTGTGAGCTTT